ATATGTATAAGAGGAACTAATTTATACATATATTCATACAAGGTATTTATAATGCCCTTAATAGGTTATCTACAATTGGATCACTGTAGAACCTTTTCATACCAAAATATGGATGTTGGAAACTCCTGTTTACACAATCAAGTTAGAATTAGGATTTTTGAAATAGCATTCTTTCTTACCATACTTTCTGTTACATTCTTGTGGGAAATTAATTTGTAAACCATCAAAGCGTTAAAGTGGTCCATGCTCGCTGTTTTATTTACTTGGCTCTGTGATGAGGCTGTGTGAGCGTGAGAGGCCCCCTTCTCAGCTTCCCAGCGACTCACGACTCCCATGCCAGGCGCAGAAGCGCCACTTGCTGTTGGTGCTGGCGGGCCTGGCATTTGGGGCGTGGGAGAAAGTATGCATCAGTGTGTGTTGGGGTGGAGAGGTGGGTGGTGTGTGTGAATAGAAAATCATGACCTTTCCGAAAATTGTTCAGAAATATGGAGAGAGGAAGCAAGAGACTTGGGCGTCTGGGGTGTTGTCACAGAATCAGCCATGGCTGCTTGGGGTGGACAGTCCCCGGGGAGGCGGACAGGAGTGGGAGAACATGATCACAGCCCCCCGGCCACAGCCGTGTGAGTGATGTCGGGCCTCCGCTGAATTCAGGGAGCACCACATGCTCTCCTCCCCTACATGGGTAGGACCTGTAATTCTCCGGCCAGTTGTTAGGGAATATTGGGGTGCTGGGGAGACTGCATTCTGCAGAAGGATCTGAGCAGAGTATCTGAGAAGTTGCCCATATGTCATTGGATCTAAGATGTCGTTAATTGTGAGGACACATCATTATTTTACATACTACCCAGAAAGGAAACACACTGCTAAATAACTAACACATCAACTTCGGAGAGTAATATTAAATGTTGAAACTATATGTATTTGACCCAGCCAGTGTGGCTCAGTGCTTGAGTGTCACCTATGAACCACCAGGACACGGTTCGATTCCCAGTCAGGGCACATGCCTGGGTTGCGGGCCCAATCCCCAGTGTGGGGCCTGCTGGAGGCAACCAATCAATGATTCTCTCTTACCATTGATGTTTCTATCTCTCCCCCTCTCCCTTTCTCTCTGAAATCAATAAAAAATTATTTTTTTAAAAAAAAACTTTATATATATATAAAAGAGAAAATATATGTATTTGCATCAGTGAAATAAGGTAACTAGTCAGCAATACCAGGCTAGAGCATGAGAGTTGCTACAAAGCCAAATGGTTACGGGGAGTGAGTGGGGTCCGTGAAATGCATGATGTGGCCACAGGGATGGATTTCTCAGGAAAGGGGCCCCCTGACCTTGGTCGCTATTTTCCCAGAGTCTGGGACACATACACTGAGGTGGTTTGGTGTGTGCCGGTGTACAACTCATTGTTGCATATTGAGGAGGTTATTTGCTTTTCAGTTCTCTCCCTCTCTTTTTTAAAAAATATATTTTATTGATTTTTTTACAGAGAGGGATAGAGAGTTAGAAACATCGATGAGAGAGAAACATCAATCAGCTGCCTCCTGCACACCCC